AATATTGTTATTTATCTTCATAACCTTATAGGGTATTGAACAGATTTATCAATATATTAACTAGATGTACTTTCGCAAGGTTCCCGATAGAGTAAATATAACTAAAATTAAGAGTATTAATATTCTCAACATAAAGAAGTTGAACATCGAAAATTTTAGCACTTTTTTGCTAATTGTATTTCCCAATCTATAACAAGCATTAAATTTCACTTTTCATGTGCTTAGATCGGTTGTGAAACCCAGTAATAGTGTTACTATATCATTTAGAATAGTTTTCACCAATACCCCACATTTGAATAAAAGTTGGTTCCTTTTAATATAGTCACAGTAATGTTTCTAACTTGGCAGGAGTCAGGTCTGTTGATAAAAATTATAATCACAAAGTTTTTGGAACTTGAATACGAGATAAATCTCAACCTCTTTCTAGATGTATTATTTGTTGTCAATCGTGTACTATTCTTGTTTGTAGATGTTTTATTTGTTATCAGTCATCTACTACTGTTGTCTGCTGATGTATTATTTGTCAGTCGTCTACTACTGTTATTTGCTGGTGTATTAGTTGTCAGTCGTCTACTATTGTTGTTTATTGATGTGTTATTTGTTATCAATCGTCTACTACTACTTTTGCGGCTATGTTATTTGTTATCAATCGTGTACAACTGTCGTTGTTGTTGTATTTGTAGTTAATCATGTATTTTTTTTATTTATTAACGTGTTATTTGTTGTTAATCATGTATTATTGTTATTTATTAATGTGTTATTTGTAGTTAATCATGTATTATTGTTATTTATTAATGTGTTATTTGTTGTTAATCATGTATTATTGTTATTTTTATGTGTTATTTGTTGTTTATCATGTATTATTGCCATTGTGTTATTTGTTTTCAATCTTATACTGTTTTCGTTTGTTGATGTAGTGTTTATTGTTAATGGTGTACTATTATCATTTGTTGATGTGTTATTTGTTGTTAATCATGTATTATTATTGTTTGGTAATGTGTTATTTGTTGCTAATTTTTGTGCTAAAGTATTGTTGTTGTTGTTAACGTGTACTATTGTTGTTTGTTAATGTGTTACTTGTTGTTAATCGTATACTATTACCTATTGAATTAAAAGAACAATGTGTGTCAGTCACTCCGTGCTTGCTCACATGGAAACCCAATATTTCTATTTGATAATTATACAGTGGTACTTTTACGTTTATACGAGTGCAAAACATTACTTTTAAGGACAGTTACTTCAGAAACATAAAAAAACATGCAAAGAAATATATTAAATTGAATCTTTGTCTTGCCGTGGCTTATAAATAACGGAATATCATTACATTTCAATACAAATTTCAACCGGTACCTAATAATCAACAATTAGGCCTAAAGTTTATATACGCTTCGTACGCTTGGGAAGGACATTGAATTGTTGGAAAGGGTTCGAAGAAGGGTTACTAGAATGGTGCCTGGGATGAAGGAGTTGTAATAAGAGAAGAGATTGAGATCTCTGAAATTGTTTTCTCCTGAAAAAAAAAGAAGAGTTAGAGGGGCTCTGATTGAGATGTTTAAGATGGTAAAGGGAATTAATAGTGTTGATGTATCATCTTTTTCATACTTAACAGTGAAAATAGTAAGACTAGGGGACATAAATATCAATTTTGGCAGGGAAGAAGTCATCTTCAGCTAAGACAGTTTAATTTTTCTAACAGGGTGGTTGATCTTTGGAATGGGTTGTCCTCAAATATTGTGGAGGCAGTAAATTTAAGTGAGTTTAAGAGAAAACTTGCTAAATGTATGAATGACTTTAATGATTTTTAAAATTTATTTATTTACAGTTTTAATTTAGTTTAGAGGATGAGACAGCCGAATTGAACCAATAGATCTCTTGTTGTCCCCAAAACAAAACATTATGCTATATTATGACTTTAACCAGCTGGGCCCTCTAGGGAAATAAAATATTACACAATTTCTGCTATTGGTGGTAGTGGACCAGAAGCTTTGTTAATACTTTAGGGGAGAATAAAAAAAGACTTGATACCATTATGGAAAAAAAAAGAAAAATATGTGAAATAGCGAGAAATGAAGCAGTTGATTTTTACATGATAATTCTTGTTCGTGTAGTACTAAAAATAATTATACTCATAATTCTTCATTTGATAGTAATGCATACATTCTAAATAAATCATTTGGTAAATATTGAAATAAAATATGTTTATACGCTTCGTGTTTGTTTATTCAGTATTCCTGGTCAATAAACAGTTCTGAGTTCAGCCTTGCAGGGTTAAAAGGAAAATGTGTTACTCTACCAAAGGGAACACTTCGTGGCAACAACAGTTACAATATCCTCGTCACTGGTAAGCAAACAATATGGTATATAACCAAGTGTGGACGAAGTGAGCTGTACATCAAATAGTATGTTTTATATAGTATATAACCAAGTGTGGAAGAAGGTAGTTGTATATCAAACAGTATGTTTTATATAGTATATAACCAAGTATGGAAGAAGGAAGCTGTATATCAAACAGTATGTTTTATATAGTATATAACCAAGTGTGGAAGAAGGTAGTTATATATCAAACAGTATGTTTTATATAGTATATAACCAAGTGTGGAAGAAGGTAGCTGTATATCAAACAGTATTTTTTATATAGTATATAACAATTCTTTGGAACAGTAATCGAATAATGGTACTTGAACGTTACTTTCATAATGCATCCATGTTCCATTGTCGAACTTTCAGATTCACTGTCTGGCACACTAACAACTAGGCTACCCTCGGCTCGCCAGTAAGGAAAGATTTGTTGAAAATTGTTATTATGATTTAATATCACACAAACCATTCAAACATTAATGAAATACAGCAACTTACATTAAGTAAGTGATTTAGTCTGATTCAAATATTATTCAATATCACAATTTAACATTGGTTAAAGCACACCATTATTAATTCGGTAGTTTCACTTTTATTTTAGTTTCTCTGAACGGATCCAACGACTTTGTGGAAGCTAAGGCTAATCATTTATTCAGTGTAACCATGGAACCTCTCCAAGCCATAATAAACACGTGCAACATTACGGTCGGTGATAGTCAGAATTTCTCACTAGATGGTTCTCGATCCTTTGATCCAAGCAACACTGCTACTGACATGCTCTACCAATGGTTTTGTTTTCTACATAACTCGTCCAGCGAGTGTTCTTTCTCGAGAAAAATAATGACCAATTCTTCTGTTCTGTACATTGAGGGAGGTTCTCTTAAACCAGCTAGGTAAGTACAAACAGAATTAGTTCAATATTACACTGTATAAAATACACTATTAATCATTTTTAAGCTGCATTGGTTTCTCGTTGGCTTGATTTCTTATTTGTTAAAAATGTTGGCTTGATTTCTTATTTGTTAAAAATGTTGGTTGGGTTTTTTCTTTGTTAAATATGTTGGTTTGATTTCTTGTTTGTTAAAGTTGTTGGCTTGGTTTCTTGTTTGTTAAAATGTTGGCTTTGTTTCTTGTTTGTTAAAGATGTTGGCTACATTTCTTGTTTGTAAAAGATGTTGGCTTGGTTTCTTGTTTGCTAAAGATGTTGGTTTGGTTTCTCGTTTGTTAAAGATGTTGGCTTGGTTTCTTGTTTGTTAAAGATGTTAGTTAGTTTGGTTTCTCGTTTGTTAAATATGTTGGCTTTGTTTCTCATTTGCTAAAGATATTGGCTTTGTTTCTCATTTGTTAAAGATGTTGGCTTGGTTTCTTATTAGTTAAATATGTTGGCTTTGTTTCTCATTTGCTAAAGATGTTGGCTTTGTTTCTCATTTGTTGTAATT